CATGTTTTTGTCATTTTTAGTACTTAGTAGTTATTATAAATTTGTATTTAAATTTTAGTTGTAGTTATTTTAGCACATCAAGTTAAACTGAATTAAAGTGAAAACGTTGCTATGGCAACTAGCTGAAATACATTTTTAAAAATATGTTATTTTGTTTCAGTTAACATTTAAGTTATTTCAAGTAACGAAATGGTTTTAACTTTACTTTTAGTTCAGTATAATAACGCTGCCACAGTATAGACTATCTAAAATAGTGCGTAGTATATTTCTTAACTAAACTACGCAGTTTTATGAGCTCAAAAGAATATTTGTTCTATTGAAAAATCATTTTTAATGTAAAAAAGTGATTTAAAAGCAGCTAAAAACTTTTCCATCAATACACATTTAAACCTAAAATCATGATATTGGGTAAAAAACAAACAACAAGTGAACTGTACAGTCAACGATATGAAGTATTTCCATCCTCTGCATAATGTTTAAGAGCTCAAACCCCCCCAGCACTCGTCCTCATTCCAGTTCAGAGAGAAACAATGGTTTTCTGTGGAGAGGAGCGATGACATTCAGTCACATTAGCATATAACACAACACGCTCTTTCACAATCTCACTCTTTACAATGCCGAGCTGAAAGAGATCCTTCGCAAACCACCTCCTCCTCAGAAGAACATTGTGTTTCAGAGCACACGGGATCAGGAAAACCGCTTTGTCTTTTCTCATATGATCATCATGCTCTGTTTTTCTTCATATTAGTTCCACACGCCTCCCTCACTATCCTGTTTCGTGCAGAGAAAAGGGTTTTTATCAGCTGTTTTGGACTCTCGTTCTGACGGCACCCATTCACTGCAGAGCATCCATTGTTGAGACACTGATGCAATGCTGCATTTCTACAAACCTGATGAAGAAACAAACTCAAACACGACCTGACGGTGAGAGCATTTTCAGCACATTTGTGCCAGCGTTTGTGTGTGTGCATGAGTTTGTGTTTCATTGTAACCAACGTCATTAAATCACGATAATCACACACACAATCATCAGGTCCGGTTCGGTCCACGACGACAAGCATCTCAAAACTTTCCTGAGCCGTTTATGATGCCCGACATGAAATCACATCAAAGCTTAATGTTCAGAAACTACACACTTTATTCAATCCAAATGACAATTATACACAGTTTTTTTTTTATTTGTATCTTAATTGTATTTCTAATGAGATTCGGCAAGAATCACTGTACAGTCCGTTCATACAAAGTCAAATATCAAGCTAATTTACGTTTATTTAAACAGTTCAGTCAAAAACACTGGCTCAGCTAATGTTTATCTCATGCTTGGCTTCTAATGTTTGTATAAAACAGCCAATGATGACTAGTTCTACTCATGATGATTTTTTTTTCACAGTACTTAAATTTTCTTGAACGTGTCACTAAAAACATCATGACATTGGCTTTCATTTCCATGTCTTTTCCTCTGAGAGAAGTACCTTAACGGCCCGTACGCCCTTCATTCAGACCTCAGACACGGTCTCCAGCAGTCTCTGCAGGTTTCTGTGAATCTGGAAAAGCATGATTGTGTTGTTCAGAAGAGCTCCTCAGTGATCACCGTGGATGATCATCTTTAAACCAACTGTGATTTTATCTTCACAACGCTTATAGGAAGAGTTCACCCAAAAAATGAAAATGAGCTCACCCTAAGTGCATCCGATATCAGGATGAGTTTGTTTCTTCATCAGGTTTGTAGAAATGTAGCATTGCATCAGTGTCTCACTGCAAGTGAATGGGTGCCGTCAGAATGAGAGTCCAAACAGCTGATAAAAACATCACAATAATCCACAAGTAATCCACAGCACTCCAGTCCATCAGTTAACATCTGGAGAAGACAAAAGCTGAAACACATCCAGCATTAAGACGCTTTTAACTCAAATACATTGAGTCTATAATCCATAATAACTCTTCTTCCAGTGAAAAAGTGTTCTGAATCGGGAGAGAAATCTGCACAGATCAAGCAGCGTTTAAACAGTGCAAAAACGTCTTAATGCTGGATTTTTTTCAGCTTTTGTCTTCTCCAGATGTTAACTGATGGACTGGAGTGCTGTGGATTACTTGTGGATTATTGTGATGTTTTTATCAGCTGTTTGGACTCTCATTCTGACGGCACCCATTCACTGCAGAGCATCCATTGCTGAGACACTGATGCAACGCTGCATTTCTCCAAATCTGATGAAGACACAAACTCATCCTAATCTCGGATGACCTGAGGGTGAATACATTTTTAGAAAATTTTCATTTTTGGGTGAACAGTTCCTTTAAGAGCAGCGCAGATAGATTCTAAGAATGTGGACTCTTAATGCACATCATAACTGAACAGCAGACAGAGAAGAACTGCGAGAGAAAACATGCTAATATTTATAGTACTGAAGGCACTTGGGAGGATGAAGCATTGCGACCCCAGATGTTGTGCTCATGTTGAACCGGGTTTGTTTGACATGTGTAAGGAGGGACGGAGAAAAGG